CTTGACCTGCTGTGTCCCATAATTGCAATCGTACCTAACAACAAAATCAGTCAAACAAGCAAGAAAAATAAGGTCAACCCCTTGCAAAATACCTACTTGTGATATCGTAAACTACTACGGCTGCAGCAGAATCACGGATGTAACTGGGAATGAGGCTACGGAAACGTTCCTGACCCGCAGTATCCCACAGCTGCAGCCTGATCTGTGGGATGGGAAAAAATGAATAAAAAAAAAACAAAAAACAAAAAAACAAAACAAAACAAAACAAAAAAACAAAAAAATAAAAACAAAACTCATACTAAAAAGAAAAATGTTTTTTAAAGGGGGTGGGTGGGAGGGAGGTAAAAAGGCGACTCATGCAAAAGGTTGCAGGGATGTGAGGAATGAAAACACAAAACTTTCCTTTTTCAAAAGGGAGTACTATAAAAAACTTGCTTGCTCTGAAGGTATATGACTTAAAAATGGCAATGGGAAAGATTTCACAGAATCAGAAATACAGTTTCTTTTTTCCCCCCTCTCTATAACCTCTCTTTGAATCCTATGCTTTCTGGATAACAAAAAGTAGATTTTGTTGATATTCAAATAGTAAGCATAAAAGGGAAAAACAAAAGTAAGTGTCATGAGCAGCTCAAACTACCAGAATAAAGGAATTAATGCTTCTTTGAAAGCCTCTCTGAAGCTAAAAAGTGTCTCTTTTCTATTGGGTCCAGAATACTTTGAAACTGGTTCATGACTACTGTGCCTATGTTTCTCCCACACATCTATTCCCAGAACACTGTATGTAATCTAACAAAAAGGAGGAATATCTTTTTGCAATCCTACATAAAAATTTCTTTACTTTCTTACTTTTTCACATTTGAGGAAGAAAATCCTGAAAACAAACATTAGCATTAAGTTTTTACCATTATGAAGTTGTTTCCAAGATTCCATATTTTAAGAAATGGCATGCTACATATTAAACATAAAAGAGAACATCCCAAATAAAAAATCCACACACTTATAAGAAATAGTATTAAATATAAAATATTTTTGGGGGGCTATAGGTCTCAAAATATTGCATTTAAGATAGTCACTGTTTAGGTGATAGAAATTTCTTCAAGGGATAGTGGGCTAGAATACAGAATTTACATTGTACTGAAATGAAAGGGAGCATTCCAAAAGATGGAAGACAAAAATCCAACATATAAATACACATTACTTCTTTCTATTTAGTCACTTTGGTATACATATTCAGACAAATAAAACCTTGAAGTCCACAAATTGTGTCATATTCAAAAGAAATCTTTCTGAATACCTCAAGAGTGCTTTCAAAAGGTCTTTAGCAGCTCTAATTTTTTCATGAAAATATTCATTTAATTATCTCATAACTATCCGTTATCATTTTTCCAAATCAAGATGACAAATTTTGTTTAACAAGCCTAGGGCCTTCAGGGTTTTACAAACATCTTGGCTTTCTTTCCCCTTTGGATTTCACTTGTGGCTAAGAAGTCAGAGTGCTAAGTACTACTCACTCTATAATAATTTGTCTCAAGGCCTATAAACTAACTTTGGCAACTCTGCTATGTACTTCTTATAGTGACAATCCCTTGATTATAGCTTTGATCATATATCTTGGAGTACTGCAGAAAATTGCACACAGAAAACATTACTCACTGTTCGATCCTCCAAGTACATCGTTTTTGATAAAAAGTCAATACCAATTGTTGCCTGTAAACCAAAACAAAGAAGTTTAAAAATTTAATAATAGTTTAATGGTGGTTAAAATGGGAACTGTGATTGTGGAAGAAATGATGAATAAACACGTCACGGTCAAGCAAGAATGAACAAAATTTTCAGTGATAATTGCTTTCCCTTACTGAGCACTTGCTATGTATTAGATTCTTTTAAGCCCTGCATATGATCATCTCTAATCCTCATACATCTGTGCATGGCAGCTATTGTCATCCCTATTTTTCTCACTGTATAGATAATGGTATTGGGGTTCAGAGAAGTTAAATAACTTATTTTAAGGACACAAAGCTTCTGCTGTAGAGTTGCGAGTAAAAGTCGAGCTCCTTCCAATATGCTGATGTATATCAACCATTTTTTAAAAAGATTATTTTTGTTTTAGAGCAGTTTTAGGTTCACAGCAAAACTGAGAAAGTACAGAAACTTCCTATATACCCCTTATCTCCACATACACATCACGTCCCCTATTATCAACATCCCTGACTAGAGTGGTTCATTTTTTGCAACTGATGTACCTACATTAACATTTGATATATTTTTAAAGGTAGGTTTTATTTTCAAATTGTGGTAACATATGTATCATAAAACATGACATTTTAACCTTTAAGCGTATTATTTAGTGGTATTAATTACATTTCCAATGATGTATAACTGTCAACACTACTTCCAAAATCATTTCATCATCCCAAACAGAAACTCTATGCATTAAGCAGTAACATATTACAGTGTATGGATATACCTCAATTTGTTTATCCATTCATCTAATGATGGACACATGGGTTAGTTCCGGGTTTTAACTACTGTGAGTTCCTGTTTTCAATTCTTCTTGGTCTATACCTAGGAGTGGAATTGCTGGGACATATAATAATTCTATTTAACTTAAGTGAGGAAATATCAGACTTTCCACAGCAGATGCGCCATTTTAATTCCCATTAGCAATGCACGAGGGTTCACATTTTTCCACATCCTTGCCAACACTTGTTACTTTCCCTTTTTTATATAAAACAGCCCTCCTAGTAGGTATGAAGTGGAATCTTACTGTGGTTTTGATTTGCAGTTTTCTAATGATTAGTTATGCTGAGCATCTTTTTACATGCTTATTAGCTATCTGTATATCCTCTCTGAAGAAATGTCTATTCAAGTTCTTTGCCCATTTTAAAGTAATTTTTTCATTTTTGTTATTGATTTGTAGGAGTTCCTTATATAGTATCCCAGATATTAAACACTTATCAGATATGTAACTTTCAAATACTTCCTTCCATTCTGTAAGTTGGGCCTGCCATACCCTTATTAAAAATCCATTTTCAATAGATACATGAACTCTCAATTCTATTCCATTGGTCTATACATTTATCCTTGTGCAGGTGCCAGTATTTTAAATACTGTAGCTTTATATTAAAGTTTTGAAATTTGGAAGTGTGCCACCACTTCATTTTTCTTTTCCAAGACTGTTCTGGCTACTGCAAATTAGGATTGGTTCTTTCGTTTCTACAAAAATGGCAGCAGGAACTTTGATAGGAATTGCACTGGATCAGTAGATTGCTTTGTATTGACATCTCAATAAATATTAAGACTTCCAATCCATTTACCTAGAATGTCTCTCCATTTATATGTCTTCTTTAATTTTTTTGAGCAGTGTTTTATAGATTTCAGTCACACTGACTTTTATTTAAAGAAAGAAAAGAACGAGCGAGCAAGCAAGCAAGCAAGCTAGCTTCCTCCTTTACTTCAAACTATGTGAATATGTATTTCAAATATGTTTCTCAATTTAGAGCTTAAATACAACCTAAGTACTAATTCCATTTTATGATATTCCATCTCAGAATGTATATCCCACTCTGCTATGAGGTGAAATAATGGGTTTATAAACTTGAATTATTGTGCAAAAGCATCTAACTGACAAACTTGAGGAATGTATAGGAATGACGTATGGCTACATTTAAGAAATCTCATCAGTAGAATCTCATTTACTGAGAGTGGCAGAGGCAGCTAATTGCCTACACAAACACCCATCTTCCCCTTCTCCCTTAGTAACACATACATTTATTTAAATCCATACTTTTCCCATTAAAAGGACTATATTTTCCAGCCTTCTTGGAGCTTTAAAAAATGGAGCTGACTGAATTGGGAGGTGCACCCTTGGTTTTTTCCTGTTCCTTCTTCTTCCTGCCTAGACTGTGGATATCAGAGTTGGAGCTCCAGGAACCATTCAGTAACCATGAGGCTATCTTCAACATGAAAGTCATATATTAGACCTGGTTAAATAGAAAAGTTAAAGTAGTCTCATTCCCAGATGACCATGGAGCTGCCACACATACTGTGAATTACCTCTAGAATTAACATGAAAAGAAATTTCTCATGTCACTTATTCTTACTGTATATTTGTTAAAAACAATAAAAATTAATGGCTACAAACAGAAATTGGCATTTTCAGATCTCACAGCCAACACATGTTTTTAAAATTAGTACAGGCAGACTTCATGATAAAATAAATGTACGACAGTCCCTTCCTTCCACTGCACTATCCTAGTTTGGCATCATTTACACCACTGAATTCATAAAGATCAAAATTAACCTGAAAAATATAACCTGTTGCTGGTTTTCTTTTCAGTTAATTTTATTCCAAGCAGAGTTACTATGGTAAAGAAGTCAATCAGCCACAAGAATTAAACCAACAGTACGAAGAACAGAAAGAATGTCTGGGAAACTAAACAATATCAGCTATTTTAGCATTTTGAATGCTACTGATGTGGAACTATTTCAAATCTTCATAAAAGATGGATGAGACATTAATGCTGTCTCTTGCTCAGCTACTTTATGGAAATGCAGAAGACAGTAACTGCAGAAGAAACCAAAGGTTAGAGAATTCTCCCATGTATCTTAATTTACAGTTTCACATTATTTGAGTGTTGATTTAATTCATTGGTGGGTAGGGGAAGTATACTTTGTAAAAAATAAATTAAGTACTCTTACTGTGGGAACTCACAATTCAAGATTGAACAATGGCTTACCCAAATATACCAGTGTCAAGATAAGGATAACTTTACTTTAGATTATTTCTATTTGGATGCTCTCCATTTGGAATAGTGCTTATTTGCCCCAATAGCGATTTTATAAAATAGAAGCTTTAACTTAAAGAGGTTAGGAATGTATTTACTCACCACCACCTTTCTGGTCAAGTTCATTACAGTGCCTAAAACTCACTGTCTTATCTATGCCATCCTAAACTTACATTGTCAATTTAAAACAGTCTTTGAAATAAAAAATCCTCTAAATTCAAAGCAATTTCGAAGTTTACTCTGAGCAATACATTCTTTCTCAAATAATAATTCTACCCCATTGTGGAAATCTTTGAGTTTATTTATATTAAGTTGAACCACATAAAATTGTTGACATTCTATCATTTTGTCAGGCAGCATGAGTTTTTCGACTTTGTTCTTCTTCAATATTGTGTTGGCTATTCTGAGTCTTTTGCCTTTCCAGATAAACTTTAGAATCAGTTTGTTGAAATCCACAAAATTACTTGCTGGGATTTTTGATTGGGATTGCATTGAATCTAGAGATCAAGTTGAGAACGGATATCTTGACAATATTGAGTCTTCCTGTCCATGTACATGGACTATCTCTCCATTTAGTTCTTTGATATCCTTCATCAGAGTTTTATTGTTTTTCTCATACAGATCTTGTGCATATTTTGTTAGATTTATACCTAAGTATGTCATTTTGGGGGATGCTAATGTAATGTAAATGGTATTGTGTTTTCAATCTCAAATTTCACTTGCTCATTGTTAGTATACAGGAAAGCAACTGACTTTATATATTAAATAACCTTGTACCTATAATCTTGCTATAATTGTTTATTAGTTCCAGGAGGGTTTTTTTTTTTTGGTCAATTCTTTTGGATTTTCTATAAAGACGATCATGTCATCTGCAAACAAAGACAGTTTTATTTCTTCCTTTTCCCAATCTGTATACTTCCTACACAAATTTTTTTTCCTTATTAGAATAATAAGGACTTCCAGTACAATGTTGAAAAGTAGTGGCGAGAGGGGACATCCTTGCTTTGCTCCTGATCTTAATGGGGAAGCTTTGAGCTTCTCACCATTAAGTACAATGTTGGCTATAGTTTTGTTGTTTTTTTTTTTGGTAGATATTCTTTATTAAGTTGAGAAGTTCCCCTCTATATCTGGTTTACCGAGAGTTTTTATCATGAACAAGTGATGGATTTTTGTCAATTATTTTTTGTGTCTATTAATAGGATCAACTTAGGACTCTGAACCCCACATATTTATCCCCAAGATTCTAAAATTATCAAACAAGAATACCCATGTAGATATTTGGATTTAGAGCTTTCTATAAGGTTCAAAGGCTGTGAGATAAGAAAGGGCCTAACAATTTCAAGAAACAGCAAGGTTACTGCACCTGAACATCTGAGAATGAGGGCAAAAGCAGAGATGAGATAACAAAAGTAGTGAGGTAATGAGGACGACAGGGTCTTAACAGGCTAATGCTATTCAAATAATCTAAGCACGAGTGCTAGTCCTAACTGTCACCAATCCCAACTGTTACCAGTCCATGGTAAGGTTAAGTACAGAAATTGAGGAATAAGCACTTACAATCTTTTATATTAATCAACATCCAAGCACAACAACTCAACTTTTATGTTTTTTTCCCTCATTTTTATAATAATTCAAATTTATTAAAATATAGCACTTATTGGTAAAATATATAACATAGTGGGAGGAAAAACTGTGATGGCTTTACTTTGAATAAGATGGACTATTAAAAAGAATGACCTGATATTACTCTATTTTAAACAACAGTTTTATAGATATAATTCACATACCATACAATTCACAATTTAAAGTGCACAATTCAATGGTTTTTACTATATTCACAGAATTATACAACCAACACCACAATCAATTTTAAAACATTTTCATCAATGACTTTCAATTTATAAGAGAATCATTCTGGCTATTGTGTTGAAATTAACCTAACGGTGCACAAGGGAAACAGAGAGATCATTCAAGAGGCTATTATTGGTAACTTGGACCAGTGCGATTTTAGTATGGCTGAGAGATGTGGAAAAATTTAGATAATAATTTGAAAAGCAGAGTCAATAGGATTTGCTGATAGACCAGGAGTGGAATATGCAATAGAGAGGAACTGAGTGACACCAAGGTAACCTGAGCTTGCTAAAAGCTTGGTGTTAACTGCAATAAGAAAGACTATAGGAAAAGCAGGTTTGAGGGGGAATAGTAAGAGCTCAGTTTTAAAAATATCAAATTTGAGAAGCCAACTGATATCTAAATGGAGATGTCAGGTAGGCAGTTGAATATATGAATCTGGAACTGAGAAGAAAGAGGTCCAGGCTAAATATATAAATTTAAGAAATATTAACATTTTGGGAATCATTATACACAGGATTTAAAGCCATGAGACTTTGCATTAGGTCACTAGGGAGTGAGTATTGACTCAAGACTGAGCCCTGAAGCAACCAACATTTACAGACTGGGGAGGAAAAGGAAGAACTCGCAAAATAAAGTGAAAAAGAGAAGCCAGAAATGTAGGAGAACTTGCAAAATAAAATGAAAAAGAAGCCAGAAATGTAGGAGAGAAACGAGTCAGCCGTATCCTGAAAGTCAAATGAAAAGTTTTAAGAAGTCTTATTAAACCATATTAAATGATGCTTACAGGTCAAGGAAGATGAGTACTGAGAAATGACCACTACATTTACCAACATGAAGTTCATTGGTATAATATTGTAATATAATAAGAAATATATATTTTGAACTTCATTCCAGAGTCCCGTCCAAAGGTCCATAAGTGATAAGAGTGAAAAGAGCATCTTTTAATATTTGGTTTTTGACCTCAGCCCCTGAAAAAGGCAATAAAGACGAAAGGAGAGTTTTTTGTTATTTATGCAACCTTTTTGACCACACATGATTTTACATTATTAAGGCAACTTTTAGAAAGCCCCTAAGGATCAAGAAACCAATCAAGCAATTAGAGATTTGGAACTTTCAGCCCCACTTATGACCCCCAGGGAGGGGAGAGGAGCTAGAAATTGAGTTCAATCACCAATAGCCAATAACTAAATCATCCATATCTCATGAACTCTCCATAAAAAACCCTAAGGGAAGAAGTTTGGAGAGTGATGCACCCTAAATTCCATGGGGACAGAAACTCCTACGCTCGGGACCCTTCTGGATCTCACTCTATGTACCTCTTCATTAACTATTCATCTGCATCCTTTATTATAGACTTCATAACAAATTGGTATACATAGGTGTTTCTGAGTTCTGTAACTGTTCAAGCAAATTATCGAACCCAAGGAAGGGGTCTTGAGAACCCCCAATTTAAAGTCAGTCGGTCAGAAGTATAGGATTTTCTGTGTCAACATTAGAGTTGCTTAAAATGTTGACAAGTTAGAACAGAGATGAATATTATACAACAAGTGCTAAGGTTTTCAAAAAGAGAAGTGAAACAATCAACATTTTTCTAAATGGTAAATGACGATAATCCCAAAAGAATAGAGCATTTTTCCAAAAAGAAAAGGTTTGTCCAAATTTCTACAATTTGTCCTAAACCACCCAATTCCTAAATAGCAGAACTAAGATGTAAATAAAGATTTTTCTATTGTTTTAGCTCATTATATGGCATTACCAGAGAAAAAATACCCAAGTTTTTCAAGTGTTTAAATCTGAAGGCATATACCTGAAATAAATATTTCAAATACGGGAAAATATATACCAATAGGAGGACAGGATTCAGATTTCGAATTTACCCTAAAAGCTTTCAGAAAAATAAAAATAGTTTGATAAAATAATTGAGACAATGGCAGTTAACAACTATGAAAATTATCCATTCTTTTAATCAAACTAAGTTGATATACTAGTAAGATAAAACAATTGAAATCAAGTTTTTATACTAACTACACAGTAATACACATGTAAAATAGGTAAAGGGGCCATTTTATTTTTTATTTTAACAAGAACGTTTCAAAAAGTTAATACAGAAAAAAATCTGCAAATGCTTGGGGTCTCAGGGAAAATACCTGGTTTTAAGATTACTAATTTACTCTTTTTAGCTATTCTTTGATTTGTTTTATAATTAAGCAGTTTAAACTAAAATACATATATATAACTTAGATATACATAAAACTTAGACATATATATAACTGGGAGCAGACATCCTTACGTTGTTCCGGATTTTATGCTTTCTCTTTAAGATCAGGAACAAAATAAATATGTTAGCTGTAAGTTTTCCATAGATGCCTCTTATTATGTTTAGGAAGTTCCTTTATACTTCTAGTTTGTTAAAAGCTACAGAATTTTGTCAAATGCTTTCTCTGTGCCTACTGAAATGATCATGTGATTTTGTCCTTTATTCTATTCATATAGTGTATTACATTTGTTTGTATGTTGAACCAACTTGCAATCCTGGTACTAACCCACCAATTCTACTTGGTAAAAGGTATATAATCCTTTTTACACATTGCCAGATTCAGTTTGGTAATAATTTTGTTGAGGAGTGTTGTGTTTATATTCATAAAGGATATTAGTCTGTAGTCTGATTCATGTCTTTGGGTATCAGAGTAATGCTGACCTCATAGAATGAACGAGTTGGGAAGTGTTCTCTCCTATGTTTTTTTAGAAGTTTTTTTAAGTTTTGGTGTTGTTCTTTAAACGCTTCATAGAATTGACCAGTGAAGCCATCTAGTCCTGGGATTTTCTTTGTGGGAAGTTTCGGATCACTAATTCTATCTAATCATGATACATTAAAATTTTCTACTTGAGTTTGTATCTTTCTTGGAATTTTCCATTTCATCTAGGTTATCTAGTTTGTTGACATAATTGTTCATTCTATTCCTTTATAATCCTCTGTATTCCTGTATGATTGGTAGTAATGTCTCTTTCACTTCTAGTTTTAGTAATTTCTCCCCTTGATTAGTTTAACTAAAGGTTTGTTGATTTTTGTTGATCCTTTCAAGAACCTCTTTTGGTTTCATTGAATTTCTTTACTGTTCTATCATATATTTCTAATCTTCATTAGTTTCTGAATTAAAGCATGCCTTTATTTTCTGTATTTTTAATTTTTTTTTTTTTGCTTTGACACCTGGGGCATTGCTGACGGTGGAGGGATTAGCCCTCCCAGGGTTTGCAAATTCCAAGATAGTAAACTTGGCTGTGAGAGCGCCTTTCAAATGCAAACCAACCAATTCAGAGCCCACATTTAACTATCTCAGGTATCACAAGTTCAAGATCAAAATTCCCCAGCCCTAATCATCCCAGGGCCAGATATCAGACAACTAGGAAAACCTTCTACAACCTAGAGCCCCACTGAAATTATTCAAACTATGTAATCCTAAATTTGCTTACCTGGTCTCATCCATCCTTCCCACAGAAACCACAATGAAGGCTCTTGCCCACTTTTTCCATTTCTCGTCCCCTCCCCCTCCTAACCCACACAAGTGCTTCCCCAAGTGCCTCCATCCCAAGGCATAGTATCCCCCGGCTAACAAACGATCTTTTTCAACGGCAGTAATCTCATCTGTTGGCCTCACTGTACCTGAATAATAAAACCTACATTTAAAAAGTTTCTTCCATTTTGCTTTAGGTCTAGTTTACTTTTCTTTTTCTAGTTTCTTAAAGTATAAAGTTAAATTATTGATTTAATGTCTTTCTTCTCTTTACAGCATTGCTTAAACTGTATCCCCTAAATTTTGGGATGTTGGGTTTTCTTTGTCACTTTTCTTAAAGTATTTTCTAATTTCTCTTGTGATTTTGTCTTTGACCCATTGGTTATTTAGAAATGTGTTTTTATTTTATTTTTTATTTAGAAATGTGTTGTTTAATTTCCACATTTGTGATTTCCCAAATCTCCTTATTCTTGACTTTAAGTATAGATCAAAATGTCAGAGAACCATATACTTGGAAAAATCTCTATAAGAGAGTATCTACAATCACCCCTACTTCTATCCCAGATGGTATTATTAATAATTTTTCAATAGACTTTGGAAGAGATAAGGAAATCAAGTGAAAAACTTGAGGACTATGAGCAAAATCAGTTATACTTCCAGATTACAGAAAGTGCTTTTATATCTATGACTGCATGTAAATAAATGAATGTTTTAAGAAGCCCCTGAATATTACTTATAAAAGAGACAACTAGTAAGTTTGCAAAAACAAAATACCTGATAGGTGTTGTCAAAACTGTCATACATGAATCTGGTGATCAAGGATGTCTTTCCAACTGAAATGAAAAAAAAAAAAAAATTCACTCAGTTAACACATTACATTGGGTTCTCAAGGAATTCTTTTACAGAGAACTGCAATTACATTCAATGGGAAATACCTGTAATAGTTCTACTAACAATAATGAAGAAACAATAACCCCAAGTTTGTTGAAATGCCTTTTTCTAATAATAGAGAATAATCTCTCAAATTAAGAGCACAAGTAGAGAGTATTTATTTAGTTAAGAGTTGAGGGAAATAAAAAGATAGAGGAAAACGATCAATTATGCTGACATCTCTAATTCAAAAAAGCTGATATTCATTGGGACCCTAACAAAAATAATTAGAATTAGACCATGAAACAATTATAGTTTACTTCCTGGACAATAACTGGGGGAAACTGAGGTTTAGGTCCACTTAATTCAATGAATCAAAGTATAATCCCTGGGAAAATAAAGGCTAAAGATAGGAGGGGTTGTCTCGGAAGCTAAGTAGGGTCGGGCCTGGTTAGTACTTGGATGGGAGACCACCTAGGAAGACCAGGTGCTGTAGGCTTAAAAAATAAAAAAAAAAATAAGAGACTGTAAGCTGACAAGGTCCTTGCAATCTGTGATTTTTATTTGCTTAACAAATAAAAAAATAATGAAATAAATAATTATTAAAAATGATAGGAGGGGTATGAGGGCTGCAAGAACTAGATTAAGAGTGAGAAAGAAGTGACATGGAAAACTATTTTGAAACTCATCTCAGGATCAGATCGTCATCAACTGAGGAATGAATAAACAAAATATGGTATATCTGTACAACGCAATATTATTCTGCCATAAAATGGAACGAAGTACTGACAGATGCCACGATAAGGATGAATTTTGAAACACTACACTAAGTGAAAGAGGTCAGTAGCAAAAGACCACATAAGATATGATCTCATTTATATGAATTGTCTAGAACAGGTAAATACAGAGACAGAAAGATTAGTGGTTGCTTAAGGATGCGGGGAGGGCAGGGGGAATTGGGTGGTGATGGTGGTTAAGGGATGTGGAGATTCTTTTGGACATGATGAAATTATCCTAAAACTATGTGATAATGGTTGCGCACTAAACGATACTGAATTTTACCCTTTAAAAAGGTGAATTGTATAATATGTGATTTTATCTCAATAAAGCTATTAAAAATGTATGGTGGTGACGGTTGTACAAAAACGTGAATGTACTTAATGTCACTGAAACTGTACACTTGGAAATAGTTAAAATTGTAAATTTTGTTATGTATATTTTACCACATTAAAAAAAAAACCTATCAAAAACATGATGGGGGATTTTTAAAAAATCTAATATTGGATCACTAAAGATAACTAAAAGAAATGCCTAAAAAAAAAAAAAAAAAAAAAGACGGGGTGCTGATTATTAAAAGTTAGAGAAATTAATTATTGGGCCTCTAGAAGATCAAGGTTTATTAATTTAGGAGATAATTTCTATAAGTGGTAAAGTAATCCCTCACATAATATACTCAGAAATCAAGAATATTTAGGATTAAAAAAATATAAGACTAGTGTTTACATAACATAAAAGAAGTTTTGATTATTCTACAACCTATCTATATTAAAGTCTATGAACTGCTTCATAATTCTTGGTCACTTATACTGGTCAGATAATACTGAAACAGACCAACTAGATATTTACATTTTCTAACTTTTTCCCACAAAAATAAGCCAGTACACAAGATTATTGTGTGATAATAGTAGCTCAAGTCAGATGTTATGATTTTAGTAACAGAGTTAAGCAAAAATAAACAAACAAATAACCCAAAATAACCCAAAACCTGAAAAACAAAAAACCCACTATCTGTAGTCACTATTCCGTCATGGTAATGAAGACAGCTGGTAATGAAGACAGCTGAAAAAGGCACCGAGGGACCAAACAAAAAGCTCACATGCAAGCAAAACTCACTGCAATATCATATCCAAGATGTCTCACCTAGGTGATGCAATTCTATAGCAAAACAGAGAACCAAGTAAACCAAGCTAGTGCTACTTTAAATGTAGCTAACCCAGGTAACAACGGCAAAGTTTAGTAAAATAGCCTTTCCCTAAAGAAGTAAATTGAATATTGTTTCTCCAAAAGTAAAAACAAGCAAGCAAAACTTCAACTACACTTGTACAATCAAATTAAAAAATGAGGAGAATGAGTGGTTGTATAGATTATTTGTTAAAGTAAGTAATTTCACATCTACGGCTCAAAAGTTTTTAATAAAGCCACTTCATTCCTTTACAATAATATTTGTTAAAGGCATTAGAGCTATAGTATATGTTTCCAGAATGATGGAGACAACCAAAGTAAAAAACAAAAAAAATATTTACCTACGTAAGAGACGAAGACAGAAAAAATATTCGTATAAAGATAAAGACCCCATGGCTACTCTTAAAGATAAATAACAAGTAAACAAATATTTTAACACTTGTGACTACTATTTATTTCTTACTTCATTCCGAAACTACTAAGAGCTAAGGAACACGGAGGTTGGGGGATGAAAATGAAAATCAAAAATGAGTAAGGCCCTGACCACAACAGAGTTTCCAATCCACTGAAAAAGACTAACATACACGGGTACAAGAGTGAACATGAGAAGAAACCACTGTGCAAAGCACGTAGCTTCTATACTGCCAGAAGTATTCTTCTTCAACTTATAGAACATTCCATGATTCCCCAGTATCCACAGGGCAAAGTTAAAAATCCTTAGCAGGCATTCAAGGACCCTTACAATCAAACTTGAGCCTAGCCTTCTGGTGTCATTCCCTATCCTTGCCAAACATAAACTTTATTTGACAATGATGGAAAGCTATTATTTATTATTTGAGCATAACATGTACCTTGAGCCTCTCAGATATTGCTCATGTAACCTAATTTTGTGGAATTTTTCTTTCCTGGTTACATTATGAACTTATAAATTCAGAATCAGATATGGTTCTGCCTGAAGGAAAGGAAAACTAAATTAACTTTCAAAATTACTTTCGGCCTAAGATTGTATTTCTATCGGTATTTTAGATGGCAGCAGGGCTTTTATTTTATTCCTACAACAAAGTCAACATCCATCCATGAATTTATCTTAAAAATAGAGATGAGTCAGAAATAATTTGTATCCTCAAAGAACAGTCCAGTAGCAAGTTCAAAATAAGTACTAACATGAGACTCATTTTACATTATTAACATTATTCAAAAACTTTAAGTCTAAGTGTAAAAATTAACATAAGGAAAAGCTTGATCCATTTTATCTTATGTGGAAAAATAAGAAAAACTGGTAATATAACATATCTCAAATAATCTTGTTAGTGCATTTATTTACTGTTTACCTCCCCAACTTACAAAGGGTAAGATGCAGAACAGAAACATCATCTATCTTTGCTCATGGATCTATTACTCAGTGCCAGGCTCTGACTGGCACTAAATAAACAATGAAAAAAGAACTTTAACAAGTAGACAGCATTCACTACTAAGGCAGTCCAGAGTCTGGCACACAGCCTTGCATTCTTGGAAAAATGAAAGTAGATATAGTCTCATAGGTAAATACTTATAATAAACCTCAGGAAATTGAGGTTTTAAAACCAGAAAGCATTGTCTATGGCCATGCTACCCTGAACAAGCCCGATCCCGTCTGATAACGGAAGCTAAGCAGGGTCGGGCTTGGTTAGTACTTGGATGGGAGATCATCTAAGACCAAGTGCTGTACGTGTAAAAAATGAAATAAGGGATTGTAAACTGACAAGGTCCTTGCAATCTGTGAAGTCAACCAAGGGTTGCCTCGCCTAAAAATAAAATAATAAAATAAAATAAACAAAACCAGAAAGCCAATTTACAAATTTATAGTAAGAAATAACTTTCATAAGTATGGGAATATGACTACCAAATTTTCTCATTCAGACTATACACTTATGACTTGTATGCTTTTCTATATGCTGTACTTCAATAAAGTTTTCCTTATTAAAAAATCTAAATCGTTTGAAACAATGACATCTCATAGTTTTATACATACAACTAAAATACACATAGTAAGTAAAGTCACGAGTTAAGAGTTCTAAGATCCTTGCATTGTCCACAATGGAAAAGGAATCAACTATCTGTAGAGTTTTATAAGTCATGGCTGTATGCTACAACTTCTACGGCAACCACTAAATAAAAGGAAAAAAAATGTATAACTTCCCAATAAAGTAATAAATATGAAATGATTTTTAAAAGACGATGAATTCAAATAATACAAAAAGAGAAAGAGAACTGTCCAGGGCAAAAAGAAAGCACATTAAGAAGACAGTAGATTTATTTTAAATCCAAATACAGTCATGTGCTACCTAATAACATTTTGGTCAAAGATGATCGCATATAGCAGTGGTCCCATGAGATTACTATAATAAAGATGAAAAATTCCTATCGCCTAGTGACACTGTAACCATCCTAATGCAGTAGTGCAACACATCACTCATGTGTTTGTGGTCACGCTGGTATAAATAAACCTTCTGCATTGCCAAGTTGTATAAGAGTATAGCACACACGATTACGTTCAGTACATAATAGCTGATAATGATAATAAATGACTGTTACTGGTTTATGTATTTATTATACCACACTTTTTATTGTTTTCAAAAGAGTGTACTCTTTTGACTTATAAAAAATTTGCTGTAAAACAGTATGCCATGTTAAGGTTGGCAGCAGCCTCATACATCTCACATTTATCCATACCACTTAATTGGTTTATGTAATATAATATAAATCATCAAGAAGTTCTGACAAAAGAAAGCTTATACTGAGACAAGACCAACTAAAATTAGCAAACAAGAATAGTTAATTATCAACAAATATGATTCCATAGAACACAAAATAAGATCTAATGAGTACTGTAGGTATATACCCGGTTCTGCCTGAGCACTCCTAGGCTCTTCTAAGAAATTAGCTTTCTATTTAAAAAAGGAAAATATTCTCCAAGTGATTTCATAACCCACTTTAAAATTTCTACAACCTTTTCAGCCAG